CTTCTGGGTGAAAGCCAAACATTTGGACCGTTGGACTTAATTCATTTCAACTATTAACATCGCCTATAATAAAACATTATGTGATCTAAACACCCATTTGAGTACAGTTAGTGACTATTTGCTAATCTCTTAAGGATTATATTATTATTTATATTTAATTATCAATTTAATATTAAAATTTCTTGAATCATGTTAATTATTACATAGATTTGATAAAGATTCGTATACATGCCCCCACTCAATTTTCTAGAATCTAAATACGCGCGCGTTGTTAAAGTCGCCCTTTTCAATAAATATTCGAATTAATTCTCAGTTTCATGGAAAAGATTAGAAGATAAAGGCTTCGTTTGTTTCAGTTTTGGGAATACTACTTTTAGTATTCCCAAAAAAGTTAAACAGTAAAATACCCAAAAACTCAGATTTTTGGATATGATTTAACATTTCATCTTAATTTCAATGAATCAGCGGTGAACTTTCTTTACATCGATTTGCTAAATTTGGTTGAGCAACAAAATCTGATTATCGGCTAATTAATCAAACATTCCATGACTTCCAAGTTTGAAAATTAGATTGCTGACCACACATTGTCCAACCCTCTTCTTTCATAAGTTCTCACTCATTTTCATATTTTAAAAAAATTGGTGAGATATATACACTAGATGGATTTAGAGAAGTTAAAACATGACACTATATATATATATATATCAATTTCAGAGAAGTTGAAACATGGCATGGCACTCATACTATTTGAAAATTTCCGAATTTAAAAAGTCATTTTTCATAACTTGATGACCTATTAGTACTTTCACCAAACTTCAAGAAATAATTTGATTTAAACTCCAAAACATAATAAGCAAACTTAGCTAGTTTATTTCAAGAAAAGAAACTTCTATCTAGTTTCCAGTTAAAGATACGAGTGGAGAATTATGGAGCTTTCGCTGCACTTTCCAAACTCGATTCCATCCACCGAAAGGGTTTTTCTCTTTAGTAATCTAACAAAAAAGTACCAACATCGCAAGCATTGAGTCTTGGTAAAAAAATAACTATCACCCTATTCACGAAACAACTTGTTCATGTTTGATTTTGATACCAATAACCTCATACGTGCAAAATGCTAAGAGAGTCTTAGAAGTTATACATGGTTGATTATGAGATTTGATTAAAGAACACAGTAATATGCAATGACTTAATTATAAATAAGACAATGAGAATTTTTATAATGGTTCGGATGCTTAAAGTGATTCCTACATCCATTGTTTTCTTTTATATGAGTGTTCTTGGTGATTAGCCAAGTTACAAAAGGTCGCGAATAGTGAACATAATTACAAGAGCTTGATATTCAGAGAGAATATTAAGCCAATCTCTTTTCCGTAGGTTGACTTTGCTATTTGTTTTGTTGAATTCAAAGAGTCTGATCATTCATCCTGATTTTGTGAGGGGGAGTCCTCTATTTATAGTCGCTAAACTCAAGGTAATGATTACAAGTCTGTAAGTGGGTAGGTGCCGTGCAAGTCATTTCTTGCGTTTCATTGGTTGATAACATGGGAAATATCCTTAAATTATATGGGGCTTTGACATGTGTGCGAACCAAATTCATTCACAAACTAAACTTGAGTCGACTGGGTTGGTTACAACTATATTCTTTTTGTCTAGGGGCGACGTGGTAGATTTTGGGTGGTGTAAAGCCTTCCTGAACTCTGATTGGTGTTCGCTGATATAAGGTTACGTTAGCTCTGATTTTGTGTTGGAGTTGTCGACTACTTCAACATTATTGGGTTACGCAGATGCATTTGGGGGTCCCACTGCCCGGTCAGCGGGCAGGGGTCATGGGGGCAGCGCCCCCGACCCGTAGGCGGTTTAGGCCTTTTCCATGTATAGCCGCTGTAGGATTTCTTTAAATTATTAATTCTTTATTGGGTTGGGTTTAGGAATATGAATCCTTGTAAAACTAGGTTTTGTCACTTGAACCTAGTATATAAACATATTTTTCTCTTGTTATGAGCGTGATAGCAAATCATAGGGCAATTCATTCATTGTAAACGAGAGAGAAGTGAAGAAATATTGTAATAATATTAACTCGGCTGGATGTAGCCCATATTGGATGAACCAGGGTAAATTGCGCGTGTTATTTTCTTTGTGTTTATTATCTGTGATTTGCTTTATTGTTGTTTTGTTCTCATTAGTGTATCTATTTCGTTCATTTTTTAGGTATAACACAACTTTTTAATGCCAACTTAATTTTTGAAAAATAAAGGCAACCCTCTTCTAAAAAAGGCAGTAAAAAAGATCAAAGAAATGAATGCCAACTTTATTTTTGCGAGTACGTATATTCCTAGCAACTTCACTTAATAAACGTTTACTATATATACATAAGAATATGGAAGCTTTAATTGCCATTCAAGGGACTAAGTGTCGAAGGAGAGCTCTGATATTGTCATCATGGATGATAATTTTGCATCAGCTGCCACGGTTTTGAGATGGGGAAGATGCGTCTACGCCAACATTCAAAAATTCATTCAATTCCAGCTTACGGTAAACGTTGTCACTTTTGTAATCAACATGGTGGCAGTAGTTTCGGCCGGTGAAGTTCCATTAGCATTTAGCAACAGTCCAGTTGTTGTGGATGAATCTTATCAAGGACACCCTAGACGCCCTGGCTTTTACTACCGAGAAACCGCCAGGGAGCTCATGGATAAACCACCTCCGGGTCGTTCACAGCCACTTATTACCAACATTATGTGGAGGAATCTTCTGGCTCAAGCTTTATTTCAGATAGCCGTGTTATTAACCCTCCAGTTTAGAGGTGAATCAACCTTCAGTACCGTTAATGACAAGGTAAAGAACACGATGATCATCTTCAACACATTTGTCCTTTGCCAAGTTTTTAATGAATTTAACGCAAGAAAGCTTGAGAAGAAAAACGTCTTTGAGGACATACGTAAGAACGAGTTATTCTTGGGATTATTAGGATAACAATTGTTCTTCAAATGGTGATGGTTGAATTTCTGATGCAAATATTGAGAAGCTGGAGCAATGGTTTTTATGCGTTGGTATTGCAGCCGATTGGTTGGATTGTTAAGTGCATTCCTGCTCCAGAGAAACCGTTATTCAGCTATCTAGATTCTCAAGTGGAGTAGGGCTTCAGAAGTAATGCAGATTAAAATAGTTCTGTGAAACCCCGTTTTTAATCCTAATACATATTACATATTCTGTGTGATTTTATTTTTATGGAAGGGGATTTCTGTTAGTTTTTAAAAGTTTTATTGGGAATGAAATTGCAAGATAAGGAAGCTACTGGGTTTGCAGAACAAGGGGCAAAATCTGGAGGTTTATTTGAAAGAAATGCTGATGTGGTAGGGGTTTAGCGGGATTACCTGTAATCTAGGGGCAGAAGACTTTCACCAAACTTCAAGAAATAATTTGATTTAAACTCCAAAACATAATAAGCAAACTTAGCTAGTTTATTTCAAGAAAAGAAACTTCTATCTAGTTTCCAGTTAAAGATACGAGTGGAGAATTATGGAGCTTTCGCTGCACTTTCCAAACTTGATTCCATCCACCAAAAGGGTTTTTCTCTTTTGTAATCTAACAAAAAAGTACCAACATCGTAAGCATTGAGTCTTGCTAAAAAAATAACTATCACCCTATTCACGAAACAACTTGTTTATGTTTGATTTTGATACCAAGAACCTCATATGTGTAAAGTGCTAAGAGGGTCTTAGATGTTACACATGGTTGATTATGAGATTTGATTAAAGGACACAGTAATATGCAAAGACTTAAATATAAATAAGACAATGAGAACTTTTATAATGGTTCAGATGCTTAAAGTGATTCTTACATTTACTGTTTTCTTTTATATGAGTGTTCTTGGTGATTAGCCAAGTTACAAGAGGTCGCGAATAGTGAACATAATTACAAGGGCTTGGTATTCAGAGAGAATATTAAGTCAGTTTCTTTTCCGTAGGTTGTCTTTGCTATTTGTTTTATTTAATTCAAAGAGTCTGATCATTCGTCCCGATTTTGTGAGGGGGAGTCCTCTATTTATAGTCGCTAAGCTCAAGGTAATGATTACAAGTCTGCAAGTTGGTAGGTGCCGTGCAAGTCTTTCCTTGCGTTTCATTGGTTGATAACTTAGGAAATACCCTTAAATTATATGGGGCTTGGACATGTGTGCGAAACAAATTCATTCACAAACTAAACTTGAGTCGACTGGATTGGTTACAACTATATTCTTCCTGTCTAGGGGCGACGTGGCAGATTCTGGGTGGTGTAAAACCTTCCTAAACTCTGATTGGTGCTCGTTGAGAGTTGTCAACTACTTCAGCATTATTGGGTTACGCAGACGCATTTGGGGGTCCCACTGACCGGTCAGCAGGCAGGGGTCGTGGGGGTAGCGCCCTGGGCCCGTAGGCGGTTTAGGCCTTTTCCATGTATAGCTGCTGTAGGATTTCTTTAAATTATTAATTCCTTATTGGGTTGGGCTTCGGAATAGGAATCCTTGTAAAACTAGGTTTTGTCACTTAAACCTAGTATATAAACATATTTTTCTCTTGTTATGAGTATGATAGCAAATCATTGGGCAATTTATTAATTGTAAATGAGAGAGAAGTGAAGAAATATTGTAATAATATTGACTTGGTTGGATGTAGCCCATATTAGGTGAACTAGGGTAAATCGCGTGTGTTATTTCCTTTGTGTTTATTATCTGTGATTTGCTTTATTGTTGTTTTGTTCTCGTTGGTGTCTCTATTTCGTTCATTTTTTAGGTATAACACAACTTTTTAATGCCAACTTAATTTTTGAAAAATAAAGGAAACCCTCTTCTAATTAAGGCAGTGAAAAAGATCAAAGAAATTAATGCCAACTTTATTTTTGCGAGTACGTATATGCCTAGCAACTTCACTTAATAAACGTTTACTATATATACATAAGAATATGGAAGCTTTAATTGCCATTCAAGGGACTAAGTGTCGAAGGAGAGCTCTGATATTGTCATCATGGATGATAATTTTGCATCAGCTGCCACGGTTTTGAGATGGGGAAGATGCGTCTACGCCAACATTCAAAAATTCATTCAATTCCAGCTTACGGTAAACGTTGTCACTTTTGTAATCAACATGGTGGCAGTAGTTTCGGCCGGTGAAGTTCCATTAGCATTTAGCAACAGTCCAGTTGTTGTGGATGAATCTTATCAAGGACACCCTAGACGCCCTGGCTTTTACTACCGAGAAACCGCCAGGGAGCTCATGGATAAACCACCTCCGGGTCGTTCACAGCCACTTATTACCAACATTATGTGGAGGAATCTTCTGGCTCAAGCTTCATTTCAGATAGCCGTGTTATTGACCCTCCTGTTTAGAGGTGAATCAATCTTCAGTGCCGTTAATGACAAGGTAAATAACACCATGATCATCTTCAACACATTTGTCCTTTGCCAAGTTTTTAATAAATTTAACGCAAGAAAGCTTGAGAAGAAAAAAGTCTTCGAGGACATACGTAAGAACAAGTTATTCTTGGGGATTATTAGGATAACAATTGTTCTTCAAATGGTGATGGTTGAATTTCTGATGCAAATACTGAGAAGCTGGAGCAATGGTTTTTATGCGTTGGTATTGCAGCCGATTGGTTGGATTGTCAAGTGTATTCCTGATCCAGAGAAACCATTATTCAGCTATCTAGATTCTCAAGTGGAGCAAGGCTTCAGAAGTAAAGCAGATTAAAATAGTTCAGTATAGTTTTAAGCAACATTTCCTGAACTTTCTGTTAGTAGATATTAATTATGGGTTAATGTCGTTTTTTTTTTTAGGTTTTACCATTCAAGAATGGCAGTCGTAATGTTTTGTTTAAGTCATAATAGATAAATAAATGGCTTGTTCCCATGACTCAGCTTTCTCGTTATTTTTTTTAAAGGTCATAAATTAATGATCCATAAGTCCACCTTACATATTAAAATCTTTTTTTTTTTTTAAGCCATGATTATCTAAGAAAATCATGGGCAAAAATACGTGATTCTTGATATAGTTTTATTAATGTGAGGTTGACTTGGTAAAAAAATTGAGTTATAAGTTTGAAAATAAATCTAGTGAACCCAATAAGAGATGTATATGTGTTGTGAAGTGATAAAATGTCTTTAACTTTGTGGGTGCAGAGCCTTGAATTTTTCTGGAAACCAGTTTCTCAGTTCTTGGCAAGATCAATATTCAATATTTGGTGACACTTGATAGTTCATACATTACAATACATATGATAACTGTTTCTTGTTCGGTGACACTTCATACAAAAACCCTGTATAAATACATCACTAATTTGCTCAAACAAATTTTGTTCACAAGAGGTTTTATCTCTTCAAAAGTAATTTAATACAAGTTAAATTGCAAAGTTCAGCACAAAATTGTAATTAGTTTAGCTTATTTAGTTGTGGTTATTTACCAACCAAAAATATTTATCCAAAGCCAGAAATATTTATTATTCAGATTGTTTAGTTATATCTCTAAAATATTTCAAGATTTTAACGAATTAATTTACGGGAAAATTTTTAAGTATCTATTTGTTTTTATAAATTTCATTTTAATTTAATATACTAAAATATTTTTGATAAAATAGTATGATAAGCTCAACCAAATAATTAACAATTTTTCTTTTATCAAATGGAGCCTTATTATGTTATAAACACCCATTCAAAATTTCAAACTATCTCAAAGAGCAACGCAAAATTGCAAAATCACATTACATCAACATAATTCAACACTAATCAAGTCCAAACACAACACAATCCATGAAAACACTAAACAAAATAAAAAGAAGAAAATCCCATTTATCTTAAACTTATCGTCACTGAAAAATCATAATCTTTTAATAGAAAAAGGCGGCAATTTCAGCACAGCTTCCTCTGTTTCAATGGGGTCTGATCTCAATCTACCATTCAAACAAAAACAGAGCATCAATACTTGAATATACAAAAGCCGAAAAAAAAAAAAAAAAAAAAACGAGACAGGAGACAGAGAAGAAGTTGTTACTGGGTCTCGAAAGGGAGGCTTAGTGTCATCTTGAGCCGGTCTGAAATGGGGTTTCTGAGTCTTCGAAGCTGGGCCTTGGCTTTGAACGTTGCCGTTGCTCTTGATTTGTATCTCTGAACCTTTCATTTTTCAATTATTAAATTCATCATCGATCTCAGCTCTCTTTATAGGAGTCCAAACACCAAAAATTAAACAGACTGGGCCGGGCCGGCTATATTGTACCGGCCTGTTACAGTTGATTTGTATAAACGATAGGTTAAAGTTTATAAGAGAACAAAGTTTAGGGTGCGTTTGGTTTATTATTTTGGATAGGATTTTGGGGATAGTCTTTGATAGTTGAATATGAGAGTATTACGAGGTAAAATTTAAAAAATAAAAAAAAACCCCTAAGTTCATTAATTTAATTAAACACCCCAATATATAAAATGACAAAAACACCCGCACCACCTGCAATGCCAGATCCCGGCCACTATTGCCGAAATCTGACGAGAAAATTGCGTTACGACACAGACCGATCGGATCTGTGTCGTAACACATCGATATGACCTTTTCTGACCAGATCCGTCACTTTCCGGCCAGATCTACGACCTCAAAGGTCCACTTTGGCCGCCAGCGATGGCTAAAGATATGGCCGTCATTTTCAGTCAACGATGGCCAAGATTTGGCCGCCGTTGATGGCTAGATCTGGCAGAAAAAGGCCAGATTAGTGAATTACCGACCATTTCCGATGATGGTGTGACTATTGTGATAGATTCTGGTTAATCTGGCAAGTATTGGTGGGTGGGGGTGGTCTTGCTAATTTTTAAACTTTTTTGGGGGTATTTATGAAATTAATAAACTTAAGGGGTCTAACAGTAATTAAAAAAATAGACTAATATTTCTAGAATAATGTGCCAAACAATATTTGAGGAATAGGATTGAGAATATGGGTAGAAATAATAAGCCACAGAGACCCTTAAATTTGACATAGGTTTGGGTGGAATAAATAAATAAGAGTATATATATATATAAATAGACTAATATTTCTAGAATAATGTGCCAAACAATATTCGAGGAATAGAATTGAGAATATGGGTAGAAATAATAAGCCAAACAAACCCTTCAATTTGACATAGGTTTGGGTGGAATAGATAAATAAGAGTATATATATATTTATATGATGTAAAAGCTCCGTTTGGTACACTCTTTAAAATACTATTCTAGTTTTTTTAATAAAGTTAAATAAAAAATCAACCCAAAAATACATTTGTTTCAATATTCTCAAAATCTTATTCTATTTTATTCATCTTACAAAAATTAATAATTACATTTCTCGTAAATATAACCAAATTTTACTTTTTTGTCAAAATACTATTTTAAAAACCATCCAATAATGAACCAAATGAAGCCTTATAATTTCTATTGTACGGACTTTAAACTTCAAACGGTAGATCTTTTAAACGGTTGACATTCACTTAAATTAGAAATATATATAGTGTCGTGATAGAAATAACGATATATTGGTAAAATGTACGGGGGATTTGATCACTCACAAATTGATTTGATAAAATTCAATATGTTTAGTGTTCTAAACTTCGTTTCTGTTATGCCCGGGAAAATAAAGGGCTGACATGGGAAAGTCACGTGAAGGGTGACCTGCTCCCGTCAGAGCAACACGCACACGTCAGACCTGCCAAATGATATGGAGCTCACACGCGTCCATTTCCCTGCAATAAGTCGTGCAAAGTCAGCTTGGGAAAGGGAAAATGGGACATAAAGTCGGATTATGTCTTGACAATCACACCAAACCATGAATTTAATGATGATTACACGCTTCAGTTTGATATAAAATGAAGAAGACCCATTCGTTAAGGGGATTCGGCCATTTTCATACTAAGAGATACTCTCTCTCACTCCTGTAAACACATTCGCTTTTTCCAACCCTTTTGTAAGTCAGTCCGCAGTTGCGACCTGATCCACACTAATATCAATACAAATCAGTGGACGTAGGACTTGCTACCTTAGCATCCGAACCACTTAAAAAACCCCCTTTGTATTTATTTCGCTTTAGATATTCCATTTTCACGTGTATTTAACAGCCAATCAACGTTACTCACGTGACAATTCGTTGGTGCCAAAAACGAGCATCAACAGTTTCCTTTGCTATTTTAAATACATTTGAGGTATATTGTCTAAGTTACAGTCTTATATATATTTCTTTCAATCTTTTTTTGGCAGTAGTCCATTGGTTGCTTTAGGTATGTCTACCAAACGAAATGGGCAAATCACCCACTATGTTTTTATGAAACCGTGAATTTATCTAAATATATCGTTTTTGTATACAAAAAAAACAAATAGCTTTTCTTTTTTCTCTCTCAGACTCTCGTTCAATCTGCCACTCTCCATTTCCCACCGAGTCCACATTTAAGAACTGTGAATTTCTCTAAATATATCGTTTTTGTGTACATAATAAGAATTTGCAATTTTGGTGTAATAATTTATTTAGGCCTTGTTGAATATGATTTATTGTGTTAATAAAAACTTGTGGGGGTTCAAGTTTTTATTATTGTTTCTGCAGCTACTTAAAGGATGGCAACTTTAATTGAATTTATTCAAGTTTCAGCTTACCTTGGGATACATGAATCTTGTTTTTACGGTAATTGAAATTTTCACTAGAGAGCAAAACTAAAGCCAAAAAGGTTTGATTCATGTAGAGATTTTTCTTGTCATGTAAGTTTTCAGTTTGTGCAGAAGTGGTACTGTGACTTGGAAATTTGCAACCCTTTGTCAGAGCAGGAGAAAAGACACATCAAAAGAGAGCGGCGAGGGAATCTGCAGAAAGTTGAAATGCCACTGCAGAGTTTTGAGGTGAAATCAAACCCAATTTCTATGGACATTGGGACCATCTTCTTCTTCACTGCCTTTTTTAACCTTATTTTTGTGTTAATTATTCTTAGAGAACATAGCATTATGCAATTGGCAAATCCAACAGAAAAATTCAAACCTTGCGCTTCTTCCTATTGAATATAAAATCTTTTTGTATAATGATGCATATGCACAAAGTGTTATTCAGTCGAATGTACATCGAAATAGTTTTATAAACCAATTTCAGTCAAATTTTATGAGCCTTACTATACACAAGCAAAATCTAAAATTATGATTTATTGAAACCTCAACATTTTGATCAATCACGTTCCCGGTCTTGATGAAAATACTTTAAGATTATTAAATCGAATTGTCAAAAAAATTATTTTCTTTTAGAGATTTAAAAATATATCAGAAACTTTCTTTATGAAGGGGGTCTCTAGCTACTATTTTAAAAGTAAGAGAATCTTCTTATAATTAAAAATAACCCTAAGAAAAAGTGAATAGGATTTACCCCATTTTGATTATAATACTCTTCAATTAATTGCCCTTCACATGCCTTCAAACAAGAAATGGGACAATCCATTTTCAATTTCTGACTCACTTGGTTAAAAAATAAAAAATAAATATATTCCCTCTTAGTTTAAAATTACAAGCATGGGACAAAAGCTTCAAGTACTCAACACTTCAATGATTCTTCAAATATTGAAGCAATGATAAACCTCAACCCGAGAAAATAACAATTTAATCCCTAAAATTTGAACTAAAAACATTTTAATCTCAAAGAACTGTTTACTAACGTTTTGATCACCTATTACTCTATTAGGCTATTAGGCTATTAACTATAAGTAACATTTTGA